TTTATTGGTATGAAACAGTATGAAAACTGTGTTACAGTACTTGGTAGGGTTATCTTTACATAATAAGAATGTAATTTATCTGGGGGCAGAGTTTGGCCTTTATTGTTCATGAATGGATCCCAAAACCATATGTGTAAAATAGTGCCTGACATGTGATAGACACCCAAGAAGGAGTTGTATAATTAATGACTCAAAAATAATAGCATCGTCCAGGTATCAACTGCGACCTTTAATGTCTAATTAAATGAACTCTGAATTCATCATGAATGGGGGCCTGTTTACTGAACTCTCGCTGCCATTCCCAAAATTTTTACAAATCCTCAAGTGGTTTATCTTTTTAAGAACACCTGAGATTTTGATTTTCTGTTTCAAATAAAGTACTCTGGCTGTTGACTGATGTCTTTGCTTTGAAATAAATCAATCTGCAGTAGTTCTCAGCCTTTTTTCTTGGTTTCCTCAAATAATCACTTACACGTTGTCATCTAATGTGTAACATAACATCCTTATGCACAGGCAAAGGCGAACTCAAAATAAATATTCAAATTCAAAAAAATATTTGGTCTTAGTCCCTGGTTCTTACAACAGCATCTAAACACTTGCAATTTCCTAAATGATATAAGTGTCTTGTATTTATTTTTTAAAACTTTCCTGCACGCTTCTGTTAATTTAATTTATTTATTTTTGTTAATCCTCACCTGAGGGTTTTTAGAGAGTGGAAGGAAGGGAGGGAGGGAGGGAGAAAGGAAGGGAAGTAGAGAGAGAGAGAGAGAGAGAGAGAGAGAGAGAGAGAGAGAGAGAGAGAGAGAGAGAGAGAGAGAGAGAGAGAGAGAGAGAGGCCGTGATTGGTTCCCTCCCACACGCACTCCAACCAGGGCCAGGGATAGAGCCTGCAACTGAGGTACAGGCCCTTCGCCAGAATGGAACCTGGGACTCTTGAGTCCGAAGGCCAATGCTCTATCCATTGATCCAACCCATCTAGGACTAGAACTCTCTTTTTATCATGAGGAGTCCCTTTGGATCACACCAGAATTTATGCTAATGAGGTAAGTTAGGGTGGACGCCTAGGTAGCCTCAGTAGGACCAAGTGATTACATGTCAGCTCAACACACTGACTTCTGGAAACAATAGCTGGGAAGGTGCAGGATATTAAGCTCCATAAAAACTTTTGAACAATACAACTTGATGAGTTTCTAGGTAGTTGAACACATCAGGGTATTGGGAGGGTAATGCCCCAGAGAGAACTTGAAAACTATGTGCACACACATCCCCCATACCTTGCCCAATGCATCTCTTCAATTTAGCTATTCTGAGTTGTATTCTTAATAATCCCATCTAATAAAGAATATGCAAATTGACCATCACTCCAAAACACAAGATGGCCACACCCCTGTGGTCAAAGATGGCCACCCTCATGTGAAGACAAGATGGCCACCACAAGATGGCCAGCAGGGGAGGGCAGTTGGTGGTGACCTGGCCAGGAGGGGAGAGCAGATAGTGGTGACCAGGTCAGCAGGGAAGTGCAGTTGGAAGCAACCAGCCCTGCAGGGGAGGGCATTTGTGGGGAACAGGTCTGCAGGGGAGAGCAGTTACGGGTGAACAGGCCTGCAGGGGAGGGTAGTAAGGGGCAATCAGGCCAGCAGGGGAGCAGTTAGGCATCGATCAGGCTGGCAGGAGAGTGGTTAGGGGCAATCAGGCAGGCAGGCAGGCAATCAGTTGGGAATCAGCAGTCCTGGATTGTGAGAGGGATGTCTGACTGCCAAGTTAGGCCCGATCCTGGTAGGTTCCCGGCATTCGGACATTCCTCAAGGGGTCCCAGATTGGAGAGGGTGCAGGCTGGGCTGAGGGAAACACACACCCTCCTTTGCACAAATTTCGTGCACCGGGCCTCTAGTGCACGAAAAGTACAAGTAAATTCCTGATTAAATTCTGTGAGTCATTCTAGCAAATCATTGCACCAGAGGAGGGGGACTATGGGGTCTCCTGATTTACAGCTGGTTAGTCTTAAATACAATTGGCAACCTGGGACTTCCAAGTGGCACCTGAAGTGGGGTAGCCTTGTAGCACTGAGTCCTTTACCCTGTAGGATCTGGCCCTAATTCCAGACAGTGTCAGACTGAATTAGATTGTAGAACACCCAGGTCAGGTCCACAAAGAATTGGAGAATGTTTCAGTACAGAACAAACCCACACTTATGGTGTCTGAAGTGTTGCTTGAGTGCAGAAACAAGGTTTTTTTTTAACTATTAAATGTTTTTTACTGCTTGCCTCCAAATCCTCTCACATCAGTAATTGTTTCTTTCATTTCCCTGAATTTCTGAAAGAGAAAGGGCCTGGACACAAAACATCCTTGACCCCTGATATTTAGAGCACTCAACTCCTGTCGCCCACAGCAGGTGGGAGCTTAGGGAAATATTCAGACACGAAGGTTCTAAAAAGAGTACCCTGCCCTAGCTGGTTTGGCTCAGTGAATAGAGCGTCGGCCTGCAGACTGAGGGGCCCCAGGTTCGATTCCGGTCAAGGGCACATGCCTAGGTTGCGGGCTCAATCCCCAGTAGGGGGCATGCAGGAGGCAGCTGATCAATGAATAACATTATTGATGTTTTTATCTCTCTCTCCATCTCCCTTCCTCTCTGAAATACAACATACACTGAGTGGCCACATTATTATGACCGGACAGATTATTATGACCACCCAATCAGTACTTCATTGACACTTCCAAAAATACTGAATATTGAAAACTTACTAAGCAAATACTGTCAAGGTTTTATTATTATTATTTGCATAAATAATTCACTTCATTGTACTGATGGGGTGGTCATAATAATCTGGCCGGTCATAACAATCTGGCCACTCAGTGTATATTTTAAATAAATAAATGAATGAATAAATAAATAAATAAATAAATAAAGTACCCTGACAACATATCCACAGTGTTTTATGGAAACTGCAAGATTATCTGGGTATCTGTCACCTGATTGGTAGAGCCCCATTGTCCCTCCCCCTTGTCCTTCAATAAACATCTGCTGAAGCCCTCCTGCCTGAATTACTCCACCAGAAGTCAGCAACTGGCCACAGGAACATGTCTCAACTAGTGGTAAGTTCCAAGCCTGAGAATTTAAAAATTGTTTTGAGAGCATCTATTAGGTGGCAGATACCTCCTGAGCTCTAGAGCTGGGCTGTCCAATAAGAATCCACTTGCCACATATGACTATTGAGTTCTTGCTAGTCTGACCTGAGTTGAGCTGCAGTAAAAAATGAATTGTGATATTCAAAGACTTAGTATGAAAAAGGAAGAGAAAATGTCTCACTAAAAATTCTGATTGGTTATGCTCAAATGGTAGTCTCTATGTGTTGAGTTAAATAAAATAAACTATTAAAATTTATTTCATTTACTTTTAAAAGCTCATATTACAAATGAGGATCACAGGATGACTATAGAGATATAGCACTGAATGAATTATGTAGTCTTCTGTTGCATGTGTACGAATTTAGAAAAAAAGAAAGTAAATGAATGGACAAATAAACAAGGACAATCCCTGGTGATACAGGCTGCTCTTGGGGTAGCTGCTTTGCACTATGAGTCAGCCTGGACACCTCTGTGAATATAATATCTACGCTGAGATAGCAATATTGAGAAAGTGCCAGATGTGGGAAGCTTAAAAGGAGGGGCATAGTAGGCAAAAGGAACAGAGGCTGAAAAAGCCCTGAGATGGCAATGAGCGTGGCACATTCAAGAAATCAAATGAATTCTGTGTGGATTCATCACAGGGTGTAAGATAACAGTGGATATGAGAGTTCTGGAGGGTAAATGGTGCAGTTC